TAGGAGACTAATTGTTCTCTGAACAACCTGTAGTTTCGTAGGAAAGTACCGGTCAAATTTCTTAAAAAACTGAGATCTTGCCGGTTTGATGTGATATTGTATGTAGGAAAATGATTAGAATAATTATGGGACACATTTGCAGTGAAGCAATGACACTTAGCATATACAGAGTCGTAAAAGCGAAAGTAATACACGTGGTCAGTTGCAGAGGAAATTCAAAATCCCGGAAAAACAGTAAATGAGTCATGGACATTTTTTCTATACTATACTGTATAAAGCGGGGTATATGCAATTGATTTAACCTATCTAAATTGCGTGGAAATTTATTTGATATGAAAAATCGCTATTTCCGAATTTCAGCCGATTCATATTTAAATCTAAATAAAATTAAGAAAGCAAGAATACTTGGTATTAAAATGTCGTAATAGAGCAGGAGAATCGAATGATATTAACAATAATTGCAGAAATAGCCAATACGAGCCTTAATTAATTTTTATGCTCAGCAATAACTAAATTTCAGACAGAAAAAAAATGCAGATTTTGCCGATATTCACTAGAATTTCAAAATACTTTAGAGACTCACCTTAAAACTCTCAGGACACTTTCTTTCAGGTCTCTTCTTCCTTTTATTACGAATCTTATGTCGATATTTTGTTTCGTTTGACTTGTAGACATTTTCTCTAAGTTGGTGTTGATTTTTTTTTTTAGAGGGGGGGGGGTTATATTATAAGCATTTGTTAGAGTGATGGTTGTAAATACCTCCACGACCTTTAGCTTGATTGTGACCTTTGGGTCAATGGGGTCAAAGGTCAAGGTCATTTATCAAGGTCAAAAGTCAAGGTCATGAAAAGAGAGAGAGAGGTAAACTTGAGATTAACACTTGAAGCTGAATCTAGATAAAGGTAATGAATATTTCTTTATGACCTTTTGAGTAAGGGTCAAGGTCAGAGGTCAAGGTCAAAATCAAATTTCAAGGTCAAAGGTCAAGGTCATTTGAATTTTAAGCTTAAATTGACATTTTCTCTACTTTTCCAATGACCTTGACCTTTGACCTTGACCTATTTTCAAGGTCAACGGTCATAAGATCTCATGCACTTGGTCCTATATCTTTACCACTTGTCATTTAAAAGTTTTTAATTTTTCTTGTAAGCTTTAAAACTTTCAGGGGCAATAACTCATTGAAGGAGTCACCGAATACTTTTGCAATGAATAGATTCCAGGGTCCTCTCAATTAGTCAAAGACATTGGTGAAGGTTTCATACCTCTACGGTTTACGGTTTCAAAGGAGTAGCGATAACAAGCATTTCTTGCGAAAGGGGCAATAACTTTGAAAGGGGTCAAAGTTCAAACATGGGGGGTCGTTTTTCGGAACGGAATAACTTTTAATATCCAATATCATGAACTACAAAGTTTTTCGATAAGTCTTGCGGTTTCAAAAGTCCGGGAAGAAAAATAATAATAATAATAATAAACATAAGCATTTCAAGAGGTCTTTCCACAGAAAGGTGGAAAGCCCTAATAAGGAATGACCTTGACCTTTGACCTTGATCTAAATTTGAAGATCAACGTTTTTAAAGTAGTAGAAGACATTGTTTAAGGTTTTGCATCTCTACGATCAATGGTTTCGAAGGCATAGCGATACTAAAGTTTCAGGGGCCATGTATAGTCTACTTTTTGTTTAACACTAGGAGACTAATTGTTCTCTGAACAATTAACGGCTTTCCACCTTTTTTAAGTTTTCATGTCATTTGAATTAAAAAAAAAAAAAAAAAAAAAAAAAATGAAAAAAAAAAGTTTCTCCAGCTGGGCTTGAACCTACAACCCTCAGTTTGTAAGTCGGACACGCTGACCATTGAGCCATCAAGTTGTACACAAGTAATTTTGTAAACTAATTTATTTTTTGAAGGTGGAAGAGGATACCTGTAGTTTCGTAGGAAAGTACCGGTCAAATTTCTTAAAAAACTGAGATCTTGCCGGTTTGATGTGATATTGTATGTAGGAAAATGATTAGAATAATTATGGGACACATTTGCAGTGAAGCAATGACACTTAGCATATACAGAGTCGTAAAAGCGAAAGTAATACACGTGGTCAGTTGCAGAGGAAATTCAAAATCCCGGAAAAACAGTAAATGAGTCATGGACATTTTTTCTATACTATACTGTATAAAGCGGGGTATATGCAATTGATTTAACCTATCTAAATTGCGTGGAAATTTATTTGATATGAAAAATCGCTATTTGCGAATTTCAGCCGATTCATATTTAAATCTAAATAAAATTAAAATAAATTCCATACACCTAAGAAAGCAAGAATACTTGGTATTAAAATGTCGTAATAGAGCAGGAGAATCGAATGTTATTAACAATAATTGCAGAAATAGCCAATACGAGCCTTAATTAATTTTTATGCTCAGCAATAACTAAATTTCAGACAGAAAAAAAATGCAGATTTTGCCGATATTCACTAGAATTTCAAAATACTTTAGAGACTCACCTTAAAACTCTCAGGACACTTTCTTTCAGGTCTCTTCTTCCTTTTATTACGAATCTTATGTCGATATTTTGTTTCGTTTGACTTGTAGACATTTTCTCTAAGTTGGTGTTGATTTTTTTTTTTTTTTAGAGGGGGGGGGGGGGGGTATTTTATAAGCATTAGTTAGAGTGATGGTTGTAAATACCTCCACGACCTTTAGCTTGATTGTGACCTTTGGGTCAATGGGGTCAAAGGTCAAGGTCATTTATCAAGGTCAAAAGTCAAGGTCATGAAAAGAGAGAGAGGTAAACTTGAGATTAACACTTGAAGCTGAATCTAGATAAAGGTAATGAATATTTCTTTATGACCTTTTGAGTAAGGGTCAAGGTCAGAGGTCAAGGTCAAAATCAAATTTCAAGGTCAAAGGTCAAGGTCATTTGAATTTTAAGCTTAAATTGACATTTTCTCTACTTTTCCAATGACCTTGACCTTTGACCTTGACCTATTTTCAAGGTCAACGGTCATAAGATCTCATGCACTTGGTCCTATATCTTTACCACTTGTCATTTAAAAGTTTTTAATTTTTCTTGTAAGCTTTAAAACTTTCAGGGGCAATAACTCATTGAAGGAGTCACCGAATACTTTTGCAATGAATAGATTCCAGGGTCCTCTCAATTAGTCAAAGACATTGGTGAAGGTTTCATACCTCTACGGTTTACGGTTTCAAAGGAGTAGCGATAACAAGCATTTCTTGCGAAAGGGGCAATAACTTTGAAAGGGGTCAAAGTTCAAACATGGGGGGTCGTTTTTCGGAATAACTTTTAATATCCAATATCATGAACTACAAAGTTTTTCGATAAGTCTTGCGGTTTCAAAAGTCCGGGAAGAAAAATAATAATAATAATAATAAACATAAGCATTTCAAGAGGTCTTTCCACAGAAAGGTGGAAAGCCCTAATAAGGAATGACCTTGACCTTTGACCTTGATCTAAATTTGAAGATCAACGTTTTTAAAGTAGTAGAAGACATTGTTTAAGGTTTTGCATCTCTACGATCAATGGTTTCGAAGGCATAGCGATACTAAAGTTTCAGGGGCCATGTATAGTCTACTTTTTGTTTAACACTAGGAGACTAATTGTTCTCTGAACAATTAACGGCTTTCCACCTTTTTTAAGTTTTCATGTCATTTGAATTAAAAAAAAAAAAAAAAAAAAAAAATGAAAAAAAAAAGTTTCTCCAGCTGGGCTTGAACCTACAACCCTCAGTTTGTAAGTCGGACACGCTGACCATTGAGCCATCAAGTTGTACACAAGTAAGCGTATTTTGTAAACTAATTTATTTTTTGAAGGTGGAAGAGGATACCTGTAGTTTCGTAGGAAAGTACCGGTCAAATTTCTTAAAAAACTGAGATCTTGCCGGTTTGATGTGATATTGTATGTAGGAAAATGATTAGAATAATTATGGGACACATTTGCAGTGAAGCAATGACACTTAGCATATACAGAGTCGTAAAAGCGAAAGTAATACACGTGGTCAGTTGCAGAGGAAATTCAAAATCCCGGAAAAACAGTAAATGAGTCATGGACATTTTTTCTATACTATACTGTATAAAGCGGGGTATATGCAATTGATTTAACCTATCTAAATTGCGTGGAAATTTATTTGATATGAAAAATCGCTATTTGCGAATTTCAGCCGATTCATATTTAAATCTAAATAAAATTAAAATAAATTCCATACACCTAAGAAAGCAAGAATACTTGGTATTAAAATGTCGTAATAGAGCAGGAGAATCGAATGTTATTAACAATAATTGCAGAAATAGCCAATACGAGCCTTAATTAATTTTTATGCTCAGCAATAACTAAATTTCAGACAGAAAAAAAAATGCAGATTTTGCCGATATTCACTAGAATTTCAAAATACTTTAGAGACTCACCTTAAAACTCTCAGGACACTTTCTTTCAGGTCTCTTCTTCCTTTTATTACGAATCTTATGTCGATATTTTGTTTCGTTTGACTTGTAGACATTTTCTCTAAGTTGGTGTTGATTTTTTTTTTTAGAGGGGGGGGGGGGGCGTATTTTATAAGCATTAGTTAGAGTGATGGTTGTAAATACCTCCACGACCTTTAGCTTGATTGTGACCTTTGGGTCAATGGGGTCAAAGGTCAAGGTCATTTATCAAGGTCAAAAGTCAAGGTCATGAAAAGAGAGAGAGGTAAACTTGAGATTAACACTTGAAGCTGAATCTAGATAAAGGTAATGAATATTTCTTTATGACCTTTTGAGTAAGGGTCAAGGTCAGAGGTCAAGGTCAAAATCAAATTTCAAGGTCAAAGGTCAAGGTCATTTGAATTTTAAGCTTAAATTGACATTTTCTCTACTTTTCCAATGACCTTGACCTTTGACCTTGACCTATTTTCAAGGTCAACGGTCATAAGATCTCATGCACTTGGTCCTATATCTTTACCACTTGTCATTTAAAAGTTTTTAATTTTTCTTGTAAGCTTTAAAACTTTCAGGGGCAATAACTCATTGAAGGAGTCACCGAATACTTTTGCAATGAATAGATTCCAGGGTCCTCTCAATTAGTCAAAGACATTGGTGAAGGTTTCATACCTCTACGGTTTACGGTTTCAAAGGAGTAGCGATAACAAGCATTTCTTGCGAAAGGGGCAATAACTTTGAAAGGGGTCAAAGTTCAAACATGGGGGGTCGTTTTTCGGAATAACTTTTAATATCCAATATCATGAACTACAAAGTTTTTCGATAAGTCTTGCGGTTTCAAAAGTCCGGGAAGAAAAATAATAATAATAATAATAAACATAAGCATTTCAAGAGGTCTTTCCACAGAAAGGTGGAAAGCCCTAATAAGGAATGACCTTGACCTTTGACCTTGAATAATGAATTTGAAGATCAACGTTTTTAAAGTAGTAGAAGACATTGTTTAAGGTTTTGCATTACGATCAAATGGTTTCGAAGGCATAGCGATACTAAAGTTTCAGAAGGAACTAATTGTTCTCTGAACAATTTTTCCACCTTTTTTAAGTTTTCATGTCATTTGAATTAAAAAAAGAAAAAAAAAAAAAAATGAAAAAAAAGTTTCTCCAGGAGGGCTTGAACCTACAACCCTCAGTTTGTAAGTCGGACAAGCCATCAAGTTGTACACAAGTAAGCGTATTTTGTAAACTAATTTATTTTTTGAAGGTCCTGTAAAAAGTTTCGTTTTAAAAAACTGAGATCACCGGTTTGGTGATATTGTTGTAGGAAAATGATTAGAATAATTATGGGACACATTTGCAGTGAAGCAATGACACTTAGCAAGTCGTAAAAGCGAAAGTAATACACGTGGTCAGTTGCAGAGGAAATTCAAAATCCCGGAAAAACAGTAAATGAGTCATGGACATTTTTTCTATACTATACTGTATAAAGCGGGGTATATGCAATTGATTTAACCTATCTAAATTGCGTGGAAATTTATTTGATATGAAAAATCGCTATTTGCGAATTTCAGCCGATTCATATTTAAATCTAAATAAAATTAAAATAAATTCCATACACCTAAGAAAGCAAGAATACTTGGTATTAAAATGTCGTAATAGAGCAGGAGAATCGAATGTTATTAACAATAATTGCAGAAATAGCCAATACGAGCCTTAATTAATTTTTATGCTCAGCAATAACTAAATTTCAGACAGAAAAAAAATGCAGATTTTGCCGATATTCACTAGAATTTCAAAATACTTTAGAGACTCACCTTAAAACTCTCAGGACACTTTCTTTCAGGTCTCTTCTTCCTTTTATTACGAATCTTATGTCGATATTTTGTTTCGTTTGACTTGTAGACCTTTTCTCTAAGTTGGTGTTGATTTTTTTTTTTTTAGCGGGGGGGGGGGGCGTATTTTATAAGCATTAGTTAGAGTGATGGTTGTAAATACCTCCACGACCTTTAGCTTGATTGTGACCTTTGGGTCAATGGGGTCAAAGGTCAAGGTCATTTATCAAGGTCAAAAGTCAAGGTCATGAAAAGAGAGAGAGGTAAACTTGAGATTAACACTTGAAGCTGAATCTAGATAAAGGTAATGAATATTTCTTTATGACCTTTTGAGTAAGGGTCAAGGTCAGAGGTCAAGGTCAAAATCAAATTTCAAGGTCAAAGGTCAAGGTCATTTGAATTTTAAGCTTAAATTGACATTTTCTCTACTTTTCCAATGACCTTGACCTTTGACCTTGACCTATTTTCAAGGTCAACGGTCATAAGATCTCATGCACTTGGTCCTATATCTTTACCACTTGTCATTTAAAAGTTTTTAATTTTTCTTGTAAGCTTTAAAACTTTCAGGGGCAATAACTCATTGAAGAGTCCCCTTTTGCAATGAATAGATTCCAGGGTCCTCTCAATTAGTCAAAGACATTGGTGAAGGTTTCATACCTCTACGGTTTACGGTTTCAAAGGAGTAGCGATAACAAGCATTTCTTGCGAAAGGGGCAATAACTTTGAAAGGGGTCAAAGTTCAAACATGGGGGGTCGTTTTTCGGAATAACTTTTAATATCCAATATCATGAACTACAAAGTTTTTCGATAAGTCTTGCGGTTTCAAAAGTCCGGGAAGAAAAATAATAATAATAATAATAAACATAAGCATTTCAAGAGGTCTTTCCACAGAAAGGTGGAAAGCCCTAATAAGGAATGACCTTGACCTTTGACCTTGATCTAAATTTGAAGATCAACGTTTTTAAAGTAGTAGAAGACATTGTTTAAGGTTTTGCATCTCTACGATCAATGGTTTCGAAGGCATAGCGATACTAAAGTTTCAGGGGCCATGTATAGTCTACTTTTTGTTTAACACTAGGAGACTAATTGTTCTCTGAACAATTAACGGCTTTCCACCTTTTTTAAGTTTTCATGTCATTTGAATTAAAAAAAAAAAAAAAAAAAAAAAAAAAAAAAAAAAAAAGTTTCTCCAGCTGGGCTTGAACCTACAACCCTCAGTTTGTAAGTCGGACACGCTGACCATTGAGCCATCAAGTTGTACACAAGTAAGCGTATTTTGTAAACTAATTTATTTTTTGAAGGTGGAAGAGGATACCTGTAGTTTCGTAGGAAAGTACCGGTCAAATTTCTTAAAAAACTGAGATCTTGCCGGTTTGATGTGATATTGTATGTAGGAAAATGATTAGAATAATTATGGGACACATTTGCAGTGAAGCAATGACACTTAGCATATACAGAGTCGTAAAAGCGAAAGTAATACACGTGGTCAGTTGCAGAGGAAATTCAAAATCCCGGAAAAACAGTAAATGAGTCATGGACATTTTTTCTATACTATACTGTATAAAGCGGGGTATATGCAATTGATTTAACCTATCTAAATTGCGTGGAAATTTATTTGATATGAAAAATCGCTATTTGCGAATTTCAGCCGATTCATATTTAAATCTAAATAAAATTAAAATAAATTCCATACACCTAAGAAAGCAAGAATACTTGGTATTAAAATGTCGTAATAGAGCAGGAGAATCGAATGTTATTAACAATAATTGCAGAAATAGCCAATACGAGCCTTAATTAATTTTTATGCTCAGCAATAACTAAATTTCAGACAGAAAAAAAATGCAGATTTTGCCGATATTCACTAGAATTTCAAAATACTTTAGAGACTCACCTTAAAACTCTCAGGACACTTTCTTTCAGGTCTCTTCTTCCTTTTATTACGAATCTTATGTCGATATTTTGTTTCGTTTGACTTGTAGACATTTTCTCTAAGTTGGTGTTGATTTTTTTTTTTTTAGAGGGGGGGGGGGGGGGCGTATTTTATAAGCATTAGTTAGAGTGATGGTTGTAAATACCTCCACGACCTTTAGCTTGATTGTGACCTTTGGGTCAATGGGGTCAAAGGTCAAGGTCATTTATCAAGGTCAAAAGTCAAGGTCATGAAAAGAGAGAGAGGTAAACTTGAGATTAACACTTGAAGCTGAATCTAGATAAAGGTAATGAATATTTCTTTATGACCTTTTGAGTAAGGGTCAAGGTCAGAGGTCAAGGTCAAAATCAAATTTCAAGGTCAAAGGTCAAGGTCATTTGAATTTTAAGCTTAAATTGACATTTTCTCTACTTTTCCAATGACCTTGACCTTTGACCTTGACCTATTTTCAAGGTCAACGGTCATAAGATCTCATGCACTTGGTCCTATATCTTTACCACTTGTCATTTAAAAGTTTTTAATTTTTCTTGTAAGCTTTAAAACTTTCAGGGGCAATAACTCATTGAAGGAGTCACCGAATACTTTTGCAATGAATAGATTCCAGGGTCCTCTCAATTAGTCAAAGACATTGGTGAAGGTTTCATACCTCTACGGTTTACGGTTTCAAAGGAGTAGCGATAACAAGCATTTCTTGCGAAAGGGGCAATAACTTTGAAAGGGGTCAAAGTTCAAACATGGGGGGTCGTTTTTCGGAATAACTTTTAATATCCAATATCATGAACTACAAAGTTTTTCGATAAGTCTTGCGGTTTCAAAAGTCCGGGAAGAAAAATAATAATAATAATAATAAACATAAGCATTTCAAGAGGTCTTTCCACAGAAAGGTGGAAAGCCCTAATAAGGAATGACCTTGACCTTTGACCTTGATCTAAATTTGAAGATCAACGTTTTTAAAGTAGTAGAAGACATTGTTTAAGGTTTTGCATCTCTACGATCAATGGTTTCGAAGGCATAGCGATACTAAAGTTTCAGGGGCCATGTATAGTCTACTTTTTGTTTAACACTAGGAGACTAATTGTTCTCTGAACAATTAACGGCTTTCCACCTTTTTTAAGTTTTCATGTCATTTGAATTAAAAAAAAAAAAAAAAAAAAAAATGAAAAAAAAAAGTTTCTCCAGCTGGGCTTGAACCTACAACCCTCAGTTTGTAAGTCGGACACGCTGACCATTGAGCCATCAAGTTGTACACAAGTAAGCGTATTTTGTAAACTAATTTATTTTTTGAAGGTGGAAGAGGATACCTGTAGTTTCGTAGGAAAGTACCGGTCAAATTTCTTAAAAAACTGAGATCTTGCCGGTTTGATGTGATATTGTATGTAGGAAAATGATTAGAATAATTATGGGACACATTTGCAGTGAAGCAATGACACTTAGCATATACAGAGTCGTAAAAGCGAAAGTAATACACGTGGTCAGTTGCAGAGGAAATTCAAAATCCCGGAAAAACAGTAAATGAGTCATGGACATTTTTTCTATACTATACTGTATAAAGCGGGGTATATGCAATTGATTTAACCTATCTAAATTGCGTGGAAATTTATTTGATATGAAAAATCGCTATTTGCGAATTTCAGCCGATTCATATTTAAATCTAAATAAAATTAAAATAAATTCCATACACCTAAGAAAGCAAGAATACTTGGTATTAAAATGTCGTAATAGAGCAGGAGAATCGAATGTTATTAACAATAATTGCAGAAATAGCCAATACGAGCCTTAATTAATTTTTATGCTCAGCAATAACTAAATTTCAGACAGAAAAAAAATGCAGATTTTGCCGATATTCACTAGAATTTCAAAATACTTTAGAGACTCACCTTAAAACTCTCAGGACACTTTCTTTCAGGTCTCTTCTTCCTTTTATTACGAATCTTATGTCGATATTTTGTTTCGTTTGACTTGTAGACATTTTCTCTAAGTTGGTGTTGATTTTTTTTTTTAGAGGGGGGGGGGGCGTATTTTATAAGCATTAGTTAGAGTGATGGTTGTAAATACCTCCACGACCTTTAGCTTGATTGTGACCTTTGGGTCAATGGGGTCAAAGGTCAAGGTCATTTATCAAGGTCAAAAGTCAAGGTCATGAAAAGAGAGAGATGTAAACTTGAGATTAACACTTGAAGCTGAATCTAGATAAAGGTAATGAATATTTCTTTATGACCTTTTGAGTAAGGGTCAAGGTCAGAGGTCAAGGTCAAAATCAAATTTCAAGGTCAAAGGTCAAGGTCATTTGAATTTTAAGCTTAAATTGACATTTTCTCTACTTTTCCAATGACCTTGACCTTTGACCTTGACCTATTTTCAAGGTCAACGGTCATAAGATCTCATGCACTTGGTCCTATATCTTTACCACTTGTCATTTAAAAGTTTTTAATTTTTCTTGTAAGCTTTAAAACTTTCAGGGGCAATAACTCATTGAAGGAGTCACCGAATACTTTTGCAATGAATAGATTCCAGGGTCCTCTCAATTAGTCAAAGACATTGGTGAAGGTTTCATACCTCTACGGTTTACGGTTTCAAAGGAGTAGCGATAACAAGCATTTCTTGCGAAAGGGGCAATAACTTTGAAAGGGGTCAAAGTTCAAACATGGGGGTCGTTTTTCGGAATAACTTTTAATATCCAATATCATGAACTACAAAGTTTTTCGATAAGTCTTGCGGTTTCAAAAGTCCGGGAAGAAAAATAATAATAATAATAATAAACATAAGCATTTCAAGAGGTCTTTCCACAGAAAGGTGGAAAGCCCTAATAAGGAATGACCTTGACCTTTGACCTTGATCTAAATTTGAAGATCAACGTTTTTAAAGTAGTAGAAGACATTGTTTAAGGTTTTGCATCTCTACGATCAATGGTTTCGAAGGCATAGCGATACTAAAGTTTCAGGGGCCATGTATAGTCTACTTTTTGTTTAACACTAGGAGACTAATTGTTCTCTGAACAATTAACGGCTTTCCACCTTTTTTAAGTTTTCATGTCATTTGAATTAAAAAAAAAAAAAAAAAAAAAAAAAAAAAAAAAAAAAAGTTTCTCCAGCTGGGCTTGAACCTACAACCCTCAGTTTGTAAGTCGGACACGCTGACCATTGAGCCATCAAGTTGTACACAAGTAAGCGTATTTTGTAAACTAATTTATTTTTTGAAGGTGGAAGAGGATACCTGTAGTTTCGTAGGAAAGTACCGGTCAAATTTCTTAAAAAACTGAGATCTTGCCGGTTTGATGTGATATTGTATGTAGGAAAATGATTAGAATAATTATGGGACACATTTGCAGTGAAGCAATGACACTTAGCATATACAGAGTCGTAAAAGCGAAAGTAATACACGTGGTCAGTTGCAGAGGAAATTCAAAATCCCGGAAAAACAGTAAATGAGTCATGGACATTTTTTCTATACTATACTGTATAAAGCGGGGTATATGCAATTGATTTAACCTATCTAAATTGCGTGGAAATTTATTTGATATGAAAAATCGCTATTTGCGAATTTCAGCCGATTCATATTTAAATCTAAATAAAATTAAAATAAATTCCATACACCTAAGAAAGCAAGAATACTTGGTATTAAAATGTCGTAATAGAGCAGGAGAATCGAATGTTATTAACAATAATTGCAGAAATAGCCAATACGAGCCTTAATTAATTTTTATGCTCAGCAATAACTAAATTTCAGACAGAAAAAAAATGCAGATTTTGCCGATATTCACTAGAATTTCAAAATACTTTAGAGACTCACCTTAAAACTCTCAGGACACTTTCTTTCAGGTCTCTTCTTCCTTTTATTACGAATCTTATGTCGATATTTTGTTTCGTTTGACTTGTAGACATTTTCTCTAAGTTGGTGTTGATTTTTTTTTTTTTAGAGGGGGGGGGGGGCGTATTTTATAAGCATTAGTTAGAGTGATGGTTGTAAATACCTCCACGACCTTTAGCTTGATTGTGACCTTTGGGTCAATGGGGTCAAAGGTCAAGGTCATTTATCAAGGTCAAAAGTCAAGGTCATGAAAAGAGAGAGAGGTAAACTTGAGATTAACACTTGAAGCTGAATCTAGATAAAGGTAATGAATATTTCTTTATGACCTTTTGAGTAAGGGTCAAGGTCAGAGGTCAAGGTCAAAATCAAATTTCAAGGTCAAAGGTCAAGGTCATTTGAATTTTAAGCTTAAATTGACATTTTCTCTACTTTTCCAATGACCTTGACCTTTGACCTTGACCTATTTTCAAGGTCAACGGTCATAAGATCTCATGCACTTGGTCCTATATCTTTACCACTTGTCATTTAAAAGTTTTTAATTTTTCTTGTAAGCTTTAAAACTTTCAGGGGCAATAACTCATTGAAGGAGTCACCGAATACTTTTGCAATGAATAGATTCCAGGGTCCTCTCAATTAGTCAAAGACATTGGTGAAGGTTTCATACCTCTACGGTTTACGGTTTCAAAGGAGTAGCGATAACAAGCATTTCTTGCGAAAGGGGCAATAACTTTGAAAGGGGTCAAAGTTCAAACATGGGGGGTCGTTTTTCGGAATAACTTTTAATATCCAATATCATGAACTACAAAGTTTTTCGATAAGTCTTGCGGTTTCAAAAGTCCGGGAAGAAAAATAATAATAATAATAATAAACATAAGCATTTCAAGAGGTCTTTCCACAGAAAGGTGGAAAGCCCTAATAAGGAATGACCTTGACCTTTGACCTTGATCTAAATTTGAAGATCAACGTTTTTAAAGTAGTAGAAGACATTGTTTAAGGTTTTGCATCTCTACGATCAATGGTTTCGAAGGCATAGCGATACTAAAGTTTCAGGGGCCATGTATAGTCTACTTTTTGTTTAACACTAGGAGACTAATTGTTCTCTGAACAATTAACGGCTTTCCACCTTTTTTAAGTTTTCATGTCATTTGAATTAAAAAAAAAAAAAAAAAAAAAAAAAAAAAAAAAAAAAAAAAGTTTCTCCAGCTGGGCTTGAACCTACAACCCTCAGTTTGTAAGTCGGACACGCTGACCATTGAGCCATCAAGTTGTACACAAGTAAGCGTATTTTGTAAACTAATTTATTTTTTGAAGGTGGAAGAGGATACCTGTAGTTTCGTAGGAAGTACCGGTCAAATTTCTTAAAAAACTGAGATCTTGCCGGTTTGATGTGATATTGTATGTAGGAAAATGATTAGAATAATTATGGGACACATTTGCAGTGAAGCAATGACACTTAGCATATACAGAGTCGTAAAAGCGAAAGTAATACACGTGGTCAGTTGCAGAGGAAATTCAAAATCCCGGAAAAACAGTAAATGAGTCATGGACATTTTTTCTATACTATACTGTATAAAGCGGGGTATATGCAATTGATTTAACCTATCTAAATTGCGTGGAAATTTATTTGATATGAAAAATCGCTATTTGCGAATTTCAGCCGATTCATATTTAAATCTAAATAAAATTAAAATAAATTCCATACACCTAAGAAAGCAAGAATACTTGGTATTAAAATGTCGTAATAGAGCAGGAGAATCGAATGTTATTAACAATAATTGCAGAAATAGCCAATACGAGCCTTAATTAATTTTTATGCTCAGCAATAACTAAATTTCAGACAGAAAAAAAATGCAGATTTTGCCGATATTCACTAGAATTTCAAAATACTTTAGAGACTCACCTTAAAACTCTCAGGACACTTTCTTTCAGGTCTCTTCTTCCTTTTATTACGAATCTTATGTCGATATTTTGTTTCGTTTGACTTGTAGACATTTTCTCTAAGTTGGTGTTGATTTTTTTTTTTAGAGGGGGGGGGGCGTATTTTATAAGCATTAGTTAGAGTGATGGTTGTAAATACCTCCACGACCTTTAGCTTGATTGTGACCTTTGGGTCAATGGGGTCAAAGGTCAAGGTCATTTATCAAGGTCAAAAGTCAAGGTCATGAAAAGAGAGAGAGGTAAACTTGAGATTAACACTTGAAGCTGAATCTAGATAAAGGTAATGAATATTTCTTTATGACCTTTTGAGTAAGGGTCAAGGTCAGAGGTCAAGGTCAAAATCAAATTTCAAGGTCAAAGGTCAAGGTCATTTGAATTTTAAGCTTAAATTGACATTTTCTCTACTTTTCCAATGACCTTGACCTTTGACCTTGACCTATTTTCAAGGTCAACGGTCATAAGATCTCATGCACTTGGTCCTATATCTTTACCACTTGTCATTTAAAAGTTTTTAATTTTTCTTGTAAGCTTTAAAACTTTCAGGGGCAATAACTCATTGAAGGAGTCACCGAATACTTTTGCAATGAATAGATTCCAGGGTCCTCTCAATTAGTCAAAGACATTGGTGAAGGTTTCATACCTCTACGGTTTACGGTTTCAAAGGAGTAGCGATAACAAGCATTTCTTGCGAAAGGGGCAATAACTTTGAAAGGGGTCAAAGTTCAAACATGGGGGGTCGTTTTTCGGAATAACTTTTAATATCCAATATCATGAACTACAAAGTTTTTCGATAAGTCTTGCGGTTTCAAAAGTCCGGGAAGAAAAATAATAATAATAATAATAAACATAAGCATTTCAAGAGGTCTTTCCACAGAAAGGTGGAAAGCCCTAATAAGGAATGACCTTGACCTTTGACCTTGATCTAAATTTGAAGATCAACGTTTTTAAAGTAGTAGAAGACATTGTTTAAGGTTTTGCATCTCTACGATCAATGGTTTCGAAGGCATAGCGATACTAAAGTTTCAGGGGCCATGTATAGTCTACTTTTTGTTTAACACTAGGAGACTAATTGTTCTCTGAACAATTAACGGCTTTCCACCTTTTTTAAGTTTTCATGTCATTTGAATTAAAAAAAAAAAAAAAAAAAAAAAAAAAAATTAAAAAAAAAAGTTTCTCCAGCTGGGCTTGAACCTACAACCCTCAGTTTGTAAGTCGGACACGCTGACCATTGAGCCATCAAGTTGTACACAAGTAAGCGTATTTTGTAAACTAATTTATTTTTTGAAGGTGGAAGAGGATACCTGTAGTTTCGTAGGAAAGTACCGGTCAAATTTCTTAAAAAACTGAGATCTTGCCGGTTTGATGTGATATTGTATGTAGGAAAATGATTAGAATAATTATGGGACACATTTGCAGTGAAGCAATGACACTTAGCATATACAGAGTCGTAAAAGCGAAAGTAATACACGTGGTCAGTTGCAGAGGAAATTCAAAATCCCGGAAAAACAGTAAATGAGTCATGGACATTTTTTCTATACTATACTGTATAAAGCGGGGTATATGCAATTGATTTAACCTATCTAAATTGCGTGGAAATTTATTTGATATGAAAAATCGCTATTTGCGAATTTCAGCCGATTCATATTTAAATCTAAATAAAATTAAAATAAATTCCATACACCTAAGAAAGCAAGAATACTTGGTATTAAAATGTCGTAATAGAGCAGGAGAATCGAATGTTATTAACAATAATTGCAGAAATAGCCAATACGAGCCTTAATTAATTTTTATGCTCAGCAATAACTAAATTTCAGACAGAAAAAAAATGCAGATTTTGCCGATATTCACTAGAATTTCAAAATACTTTAGAGACTCACCTTAAAACTCTCAGGACACTTTCTTTCAGGTCTCTTCTTCCTTTTATTACGAATCTTATGTCGATATTTTGTTTCGTTTGACTTGTAGACATTTTCTCTAAGTTGGTGTTGATTTTTTTTTTTTAGAGGGGGGGGGGGGCGTATTTTATAAGCATTAGTTAGAGTGATGGTTGTAAATACCTCCACGACCTTTAGCTTGATTGTGACCTTTGGGTCAATGGGGTCAAAGGTCAAGGTCATTTATCAAGGTCAAAAGTCAAGGTCATGAAAAGAGAGAGAGGTAAACTTGAGATTAACACTTGAAGCTGAATCTAGATAAAGGTAATGAATATTTCTTTATGACCTTTTGAGTAAGGGTCAAGGTCAGAGGTCAAGGTCAAAATCAAATTTCAAGGTCAAAGGTCAAGGTCATTTGAATTTTAAGCTTAAATTGACATTTTCTCTACTTTTCCAATGACCTTGACCTTTGACCTTGACCTATTTTCAAGGTCAACGGTCATAAGATCTCATGCACTTGGTCCTATCTTTATCTTTACCACTTGTCATTTAAAAGTTTTTAATTTTTCTTGTAAGCTTTAAAACTTTCAGGGGCAATAACTCATTGAAGGAGTCACCGAATACTTTTGCAATGAATAGATTCCAGGGTCCTCTCAATTAGTCAAAGACATTGGTGAAGGTTTCATACCTCTACGGTTTACGGTTTCAAAGGAGTAGCGATAACAAGCATTTCTTGCGAAAGGGGCAATAACTTTGAAAGGGGTCAAAGTTCAAACATGGGGGGTCGTTTTTCGGAATAACTTTTAATATCCAATATCATGAACTACAAAGTTTTTCGATAAGTCTTGCGGTTTCAAAAGTCCGGGAAGAAAAATAATAATAATAATAATAAACATAAGCATTTCAAGAGGTCTTTCCACAGAAAGGTGGAAAGCCCTAATAAGGAATGACCTTGACCTTTGACCTTGATCTAAATTTGAAGATCAACGTTTTTAAAGTAGTAGAAGACATTGTTTAAGGTTTTGCATCTCTACGATCAATGGTTTCGAAGGCATAGCGATACTAAAGTTTCAGGGGCCATGTATAGTCTACTTTTTGTTTAACACTAGGAGACTAATTGTTCTCTGAACAATTAACGGCTTTCCACCTTTTTTAAGTTTTCATGTCATTTGAATTAAAAAAAAAAAAAAAAAAAAAAAAAAAAAAAAAAAAAAGTTTCTCCAGCTGGGCTTGAACCTACAACCCTCAGTTTGTAAGTCGGACACGCTGACCATTGAGCCATCAAGTTGTACACAAGTAAGCGTATTTTGTAAACTAATTTATTTTTTGAAGGTGGAAGAGGATACCTGTAGTTTCGTAGGAAAGTACCGGTCAAATTTCTTAAAAAACTGAGATCTTGCCGGTTTGATGTGATATTGTATGTAGGAAAATGATTAGAATAATTATGGGACACATTTGCAGTGAAGCAATGACACTTAGCATATACAGAGTCGTAAAAGCGAAAGTAATACAGGTCAGTTGCAGAGGAAATTCAAAATCCCGGAAAAACAGTAAATGAGTCATGGACATTTTTTCTATACTATACTGTATAAAGCGGGGTATATGCAATTGATTTAACCTATCTAAATTGCGTGGAAATTTATTTGATATGAAAAATCGCTATTTGCGAATTTCAGCCGATTCATATTTAAATCTAAATAAAATTAAAATAAATTCCATACACCTAAGAAAGCAAGAATACTTGGTATTAAAATGTCGTAATAGAGCAGGAGAATCGAATGTTATTAACAATAATTGCAGAAATAGCCAATACGAGCCTTAATTAATTTTTATGCTCAGCAATAACTAAATTTCAGACAGAAAAAAAATGCAGATTTTGCCGATATTCACTAGAATTTCAAAATACTTTAGAGACTCACCTTAAAACTCTCAGGACACTTTCTTTCAGGTCTCTTCTTCCTTTTATTACGAATCTTATGTCGATATTTTGTTTCGTTTGACTTGTAGACATTTCTCTAAGTTGGTGTTGATTTTCTTTTTAAAGAGGGGGGGGGGGGGTGTATTTTATAAGCATTAGTTAGAGTGATGGTTGTAAATACCTCCACGACCTTTAGCTTGATTGTGACCTTTGGGTCAATGGGGTCAAAGGTCAAGGTCATTTATCAAGGTCAAAAGTCAAGGTCATGAAAAGAGAGAGAGGTAAACTTGAGATTAACACTTGAAGCTGAATCTAGATAAAGGTAATGAATATTTCTTTATGACCTTTTGAGTAAGGGTCAAGGTCAGAGGTCAAGGTCAAAATCAAATTTCAAGGTCAAAGGTCAAGGTCATTTGAATTTTAAGCTTAAATTGACATTTTCTCTACTTTTCCAATGACCTTGACCTTTGACCTTGACCTATTTTCAAGGTCAACGGTCATAAGATCTCATGCACTTGGTCCTATATCTTTACCACTTGTCATTTAAAAGTTTTTAATTTTTCTTGTAAGCTTTAAAACTTTCAGGGGCAATAACTCATTGAAGGAGTCAC